CCATTTCTGAAATATTTTGGATTGTTAGCGTGAATTGTGGTATTTAGATTTGCATATTACTATTTAGTGATTCTTGAAATCCATTAAGATTTTCAGTTACAGTTTCACATTTGGGTTTTAGTGAAACACTTGGTGTTGTGAAATCAATGAATTATTGTTTTCCATTGGATTAGGCCTCTCTTTTCAACGTAGGTTGAAACTTTTGATTGAACCTCTACATTGTAATTTTTTTTTTTTTTGGGTTGTGTTGATATGAAAAATTAGGGTCGTGTTGATCCGTGAAATAAAATAGGTCGTGTACAGGCCTGGATAAATGACACAAATTATTAGCATATCGTGTAATGAGTTGACCTTTGTGACCTGCATGTAGGCGTGTAAATAGGCTATACTAGGCTAGACTTTGGCGTAAATAGGTCAAGCTTATATAAAAATAAATTTTTTTTGGCCAAATCTGTTAACCTATGTAGCCCAAATTACAAGTCAGGCTAACCTATATTTAAAAATAAAAGCTTTGGTTTAGGCCTATTAGCATGTTTAAGCCTATTAAACATTTATAATTAAAAAAATAACTAAAATAATATCACTTTATTATTTAAAATTATTAAAATACTAATTTTTTTAAAATAGATAATATGATATAGGTCGGCCTGTAGGTTTATAGGCCCGACATGTACAAAAAAAGCCTATGGCTTCCTTTCTAAATATATTTTTTAAAAAACATAAGCCTGTTCTATTTGACTAGATCCTAGGCCCCTGTCAAAAAAAGTTAAATTTTTTGTGATTTTAGCATAGGTTGTTGCCGGTCATGGGTCAGTATGATATTTTATTCAGTTTTTCCATTCTATTTTTAATATTTTTAGGAAAAAATAAATTTTTTAATTTACGTGTCAACCCATATGACTTGTGACCCACAATGTGTAGTGTCCGGGTTTGAGTTTTTGACCTATGAACAAAAATGTGTCATGTTTGGGTTGGACACTTTGACCGACAGGACAGAGCTTGACACGACACAAACTAGACTCGCCATAATGTGGGTCTAAATGAGTAAGGCCAAGTCAGACTTTAGCTTAAATGGGTTAGACCTATGTAAATTATTTCAAGCCTAGTTTGGCTTGTTAGCATGATAGAAGCCAAATTATAAACTTGGTCTAACTTGTTTTTAAGAAATAGAAGGTTTGGTCTGTCCTATCAAGCCTTTAAAAATAACATATTGCACTCTCTGTAAATTATAAGTTATAATTGCTTTATAGAATAGCTAAACATAACCCAAAATATTGAGAATTTAACTACGTTGTTAAAAATAAAATAAAATCAATGGAATCGCTTTGTATTGATAAAATTAAATTTTAATTTAATTTACAATAAAATAAAAGTATATACACGCGTGTGTGTGTGTGTATAAAAAATGAGCACAAAAGTAACTATTGCAAGACTAAACAATCATGATGTTTAGACATAAAAGAAGCAACCACCAATCAAGTAAAAGTCAATCAAAATAGACTAATAAAACAAGGGGAAAATATTTTTTCTTTTAAAGGATATCATTTTGTGTAATTTTAGATACTAACCGTTGATTTCTATCAATAAATGATTATAATTTATTGGGTCAAATTTATTAGTTAATTAGTAGTTTACAATAAATTATAACCGTTGATTAACGTAAATCAACGGTTAGGATTTAAAATGACATAAAATTATATCCTTTAAAAGGACAAAATATTTTTTTCCAATAAAATATAAATATATTGGAAGTCAAATTTTTAGAATGACAATTACATTACAATTCAAAATTTACGCAGTCAAATCATGCAAGGAGAAACTCAGCACTGTCCACCAACCAACTAATTTATATAAGAATTTTCCAATAAAAAATAATTAAATAAATAAAGAGAAAATAAAAACAGAAGACAAACATAAACATGTGCCCAACAAACAAGAACAAGATATGTAAATGCATATAACACCCAAAAGTTAGAAGAGTGGTGGCGGTGAAGGAATTCAAGGTTAAGAAAAAATGTGTCAAGTGAGAAGAGAAAAGATTCTGAAAAATAGAAAAATAAAAAAAAATCATAACATTTTATTTTATTAAAAAATAACAAGATATTATTTTCTTAAAAATAAAATAAAATATTATTTATGAAAAAATACGAGTCAGACCTAGAGGCTTAGGGTATGCATGAAAAATCATTCTGTTCCCTGACACTTTTCTGAAAAAAAAAAATGATTCTTTTCTATTTCTGTGCCTTGGAACAATTTCAGCGAAAAAAATGTGTTTGATAACATGTTCTATTTTTATTCTGAGAATGAGAATTGCGTTTGATAACACAACAAATAATATAATAAAAAAAATTCCTATAAGCACAATTTTTTTTCGGATCATCACTTTCCTTTCCATATGGTGTGGTGGTGGTGGCGGTGGTGATAATGGTGGCTTGGTGGTGGTAGTAGTGTTGTTGGTGATAGTATGGTAGTGTCTGCGGTGATGTGGCGATGATTGGTGGCAGTGGTGGTGGTGGTGATGGCAGTGGCTACAGCGATGATGGTGGTGGTTGGTGAAGGTGGCGATGGTGGTGGCGTGGCGGCAATGACGATGGCGTCGTGGTGGTGGTAATAGCACTGGCTGCGGCGATGATAGTTGTAATACCCCATATTTTTATTAGTAAAATAATAATAATAATAATAATAATAATATAATAAATTTTTGTTGGATAATAATGATATTTAGTATTTTTGTAATTAATAATATTGGTATTTAATATTTTTGATTAATGACTTAACAATAGTTAAAATAATAAGATAGTAATATTATTTGATTTATGTGATAATATAATAATCATAATAATAAATATAAATTAGTAGTAATAATAATATATATATATAAATTTTGTGGCGATAGATAACAAATTATAATATAAGTTTTACTTTTGATAAAATGATTTTGTGTGTGCTATTGGAAATTGATTTTGTAACTTTGTAATACTCTAGATTATTTATAATAAAAAATATTAATATGTATATATATATATATATACATATTAATATATATATATATTAATATATATATATATATATATATTAATATATATATATATTAGATGTTAAATTATGATTAATTGATTTATTAATTGACTGAAGATTTATGTATTAATGTTTGATTGGTAATTTGATTAGATATGATGAGTCAATCATGAGTCAGCCTTGAGTTAGCAATTAAAACAGCTGATTTCTTTTTGGATACCAATGTGATGGGCAGTGGGACATTCAATGCCTTGTTTGCCACCACAAATGGTCATTTAATTATTCGATTTAAAAATTAAAATTTGATTTTTAAAAGAAATTTTTTTTCCCACCATCCATATTTAAACTCAAAATTTTAAACCATTTCAAATTTCGAATTTTAGATCAGATGACCAATTCCAACATAAAAAGCAATTAAAACAACTGCTTTCTTTTTGGATACCAATGTGATGGACAGTGGGACATTCAATGCCTTGTCTGCCACCACAAATGGTCATTTAATTATTCGATTTAAAAATTAAAATTCAATTTTTAAAAGTAATTCTTTTCCCACCATCCATATTTAAATTCAAAATTTTAAACCATTTCAAATTTCGAATTTTAGATCAGATGACCAATTCCAACATAAAAAGCAATTAAAACAGCTGATTTCTTTTTGAATACCAATGTGATGGGCAGAGGGACATTCAATGCCTTGTCTGCCACCACAAATGGTCATTTAATTATTCGATTTAAAAATTAAAATTCAATTTTTAAAAGTAATTCTTTTCCCACCATCCATATTTAAATTCAACATTTAAACCATTTCAAATTTCGAATTTTAGATCAGATGACCAATTCCAACATAAAAAGCAATTAAAACAGCTGATTTCTTTTTGGATACCAATGTGATGGGCAGTGGGACATTCAATGCCTTGTCTACTACCACAAATGGTCATTTAATTATTTGATTTAAAAATTAAAATTCGATTTTTAAAAGAATTTTTTTTCCCACCATCCATATTTAAATTCAAAATTTTAAACCATTTCAAATTTCGAATTTTAGATCAGATGACCAATTCCAACATAAAAAGCAATTAAAACAGCTGATTTCTTTTTGGATACCAATGTGATGGCAGTGGGACATTCAATGCCTTGTCTGCCACCATAAATGGTCATTTAATTATTCGATTTAAAAATTAAAAGGAATGAATGAGTAATAATGTACAAATGAAAGTATGAAAGAAAAAGGCACACGAACAAATGAGTACAAATAAAAACTGTCATAACAATACCTCCAAATATTCATGACGATAAAATATTGTTTGTTCAAAAATAGCAGTTAGCCATATACCATGTGTGTATGAAAAACGATTCTTGCATGAGTAGAAAAAGTTAGCAGTTAAAAAAACCAAACGGTAACGAAAATAAGTAAAAAAACACTCCATTGCCATTTTTTTTGTCTTTACCTGTACCAAGCAGTGATGTTATGTCATAGTAGACAGAAGGAAATTCACGACATTAATCTTTGAAATACTTCCTTGTAAACTATATTAAGGGTACTATTTGTGACACAACCGTTTTCATCAAGTATCAATATCTTCAATCCACACTTGCTCTTTACTCTAGACAGTGCCACATATAATTGCCCGTGAGTGAAGACAGGTTTGGGGAGATAAATTGCAACATGAGAAAGAGATTGTCCTTGGCTCTTATTGATAGTCATGGAAAATGAAATATCAGAGGGAATTGTCTTCTTTGGAAGTTTATAGGAAATGTGTGACTTGATGGGCTCATCGTCATTCTAGGGATTAACACAGTTTCACCTATATTGCTTCCTGTAAGAACAATTGCCTGAACAACATGATCCCCCAATTTTGTAATGAGCAGCCTTGTGCCATTGCACAAACCTCTGGACTGATCAATATTTCTCAATAGCATTACTGGAACTTTAACCTTCAAGGTTAATTTATGATCAGGAATCCCCGAACACGATAATGTATTTAAGATCTCAGGTGTGAATTCATCATCTTCAACAGAGGAAGCACATCTTGCTTCAGAATTTTATCATAACTCAAAAATATCCTTTCTTCACCAGGAATCATCGACATCAAGTGCTCGTTCATCATAGCAACATTGGACAATTTAGGAGTTAAGATAGCACGTTCTTTGAAAAACGTTGGATCTAAAATATTATCCAAGAGATTCGGATAAACAAAATTAACCATATCTGAAACGGGATCATCTGATTCTGTAATCAACAATTCATCTGGAATTGTTATCATAGATTCTCTATCTTCATCATCTCCAAGATCACCATCCCCAACTTTAAGTAGCCACTCAGAAAATTCTCTTATTTCCTTCACATCATCAGTGGTACTTCCAGAATTAAGACGCATGTTCTTGGTCAAAGTTAATAAATGACAATAGGACCATAGATGAGAAGAATTGATGGTTGCATTTACTATCTCCTGTCTGCTGCCATGAGGAATGACAGGTAATATTTGCCGAAAGTCATCTCCTAGAACTACAATTTTTCCACCAAATGGCATATCAACGCAGTTCGTGTCAGAAAATCTAAGAACATCTCTAAGTGTTCTATCCAGAGCCTCAAAACAAAATCTATGCACCATTGGTGCTTCATCCCAAATGATTAACTTCGTTTTTGACAGCAACTCTGCTATGGTAGAATTTGGCTTGATATTACACGTTGAATCCTCATTGATCTGAATAGGAATACGAAATCTAGAATGTGTTGTTCGTCCTCCAGGAAGCAGAAGGGAAGCAATTCCGCTAGAAGCAACATTAAGTACTATTTCAGCTTTTGATCTAACAAATGCTGAAAGAGTATTCCAAATAAATGTTTTTCCTGTACCACCAAATCCATATAGAAAGAATAACCCTCCTTTACCTGATGTAACTGCCGAAATGATTTTGTCATATACAACTCTCTGCTCATCAGTGAGGGAATTCAATAGTCTTTCATGCTCTTCTCCCAATGAAAATGTGTCATACATTAATTCATCAACCACTAATCTATTCTGCATATCAAACAACGATTCCCTGGTGATGTGAGGCATTGACGGGTAATCAGAAAGGCATTTACCATTGCTCTGCAGCACCTTATCAATTTCTGCAAGTGTTATGTTTTTTATACTTTCTTCGGTAAGAAGCGCATCTAAAAAAACCATAAAATACAAAGGAAAAAAAAGTTAAAAATAACAAAGAGAAAGATATAAAGGAAAGAACAAAGCCGAAATAAATAATAAAGCAACATATGCTGAATTATGGTAAAAAAATAGCGAAATAAACAGTAAAGCAACATATACTAATTTAAGTTTTTAAAAAACATAAATGCGTTAAATATTATCATAACACGTACCTTGAAGCCCTATTCTTTTCCTATGTGATAAAGAACATCGTCGGATAAAAATTTCCAACACTCTTCCCAAACTTTTCAGGCCTGTTCATTGAGTTGGCAAATAACAATAGAGCAAACAGAGATCTAAGATAAGCAGCAGAACCCCATGAATTTGCCTCTTTAATTGCATCAATATACTCATTGTCATCATCTAGAAGTCCTAAATAATAGAAGGCATCCTTAAATGTAGGAAAAAGCACGCCATTGATTGTTCTAAGATCTTCATAACTGGTATACCCTCTTTGAAAAGTAAGCAACGTGCGAAGATAGGAATCTTCTCCATTATTGGCAGAAAAATGATTTATTCTCGGAATTGAAAATCCCATTTTTCTAGGATTCCATTCATGAGTTTGGTCTTTGTAAACAAATTCAGTCGGGTACTCTGAATAAGTTAGATGCCTACCTTCTGGATATTTTTTATTTGCATCCGTCCAAGACTCAAAGATTGATAGTCTAGACTCCGCCCTTGTCTTGACATCAGAAATCGAAGCATTATCACTGAAAATAATGTTCTTTTCATTGGGCAGATGAAATGGCAATCTCTGAACAGGGGGTACCTGGAATGAATGTCAAATCCAAAAATTCTCCAACCAGCTTCACATGCAGAGAAATAACTATAATAAATAAATAATTAAAACAAAAAAGTTGAAAGATCATGAAAAAAAACACGTTGATTTTTGGGAGAAGCAAAATAAGATAAGAGAAAATTTTGAGTACTTGCAGTCATAAAACATTTTGATTTCATCTTCTGCGTGATGTACGTCAGCTGTTACTCTATCATGCCTTTGTGAATGTATTTAAAAAGATATTTAATAGCACTTCTCTGGCAAGTATATTCAGCATTGATATGAGCGTGATGCTTTAAAAGAAGTTGTGCATTGTATGGCACAATATAATGATTATCAAGTTCAACACCATTTTTGTTCACAACTCTTGCATCATTTCTTCTCTTATAATGAGGGAATCCATCGTCATCAATAGAAGTACGGGAACAGAAGTTCTTTGGAAATTTTTTTGAACACCGTCCGTCCTTCATGCAAGGAGATTTGTAATTTTCAGGACCACATGGACCATGTATCATGTAATTTGTGACAACTTGAAACAGCAAAGGATTGGAATCCTTGTCAGGAATTTCCGCTGAAACCAATTTATCAATATCAAAAGCACTTTCAGGCTTGTTTGAAGGGTGCAAGAATAGCAGAATATGAGCATGAGGTACAGCTCAGTTCTGAGATGACTCTGGTTATATCGAATGAAATTAAGTCGTTCAAACTCAATCATAGTGTACGCATCAACCAGGAATTGTTGGAAAAGTTTCTTTGATCGAAGGAGAATTTCTGACTCTCCTGATCGCATCTGAAGTCGAAAAGAAAAGAATTCCTTCATGCTAATAACAGCTCTTGCATTAGTCCTACCACTGGACACGAAAGTACGCTGGACATCGTCGCGATAACCGTCTTCACCGTAAGGAAATAACAATGGATACTGCAAGCCAAGATATAATGGATGCTTCACATCAATGCGCTGCAGTACTCTATCTTGGGTCATCTTCTTTATAACGGTCTCTAGCGCACCGGAAAGACTGAGCTATACTGTTGTGCTTGTCCAACATCTGCTTCAACAATAGGATAATTTTGGGATCGAGCTTATCTTCAGTACTCGTGGAACTGCAAATATAATTACACGTATTTTCTTGGATAAAAAAATAAGAACTTTAAATAAATTTAAACTTACTGTCGTTTTGAATTCCAATGATAAAAGCTTACTCAAAATTCGAACTTGAAATTTTAAAAATAGAAAAAAAGATTTGAATTAAAATATTTTATTTTGTTATTATGATTATTCTATCATAGACGTTATTTATTTTTTATTTTGGATAAAAAAAGACAGACTTTGAATTCCAATGATCAAAGGTTAATAAAATTTGAAACTTGAAATTTATAAAATAAGAAACATTAAATTTGAATTAAAGTTATTTATTTCGTCACATTAAAAATAGCAAAGAAAAAATCAGATAAAAAAGACATACTTTGAATGCTAATTATCAAAGCATAATAAAAATTATAAATTTGAATTTAAAAATTAGGAAACATAAGATTGATTTTTTTTGGAACTTATTTTCTGGTCATGATTACTGTACCATAACATGTTATTAATTAATTTATTAGCAAATACATGATTTTTTATTTGTCTTTTTTAGGATAAAAAAAGACATACTTAGTATTCCAAAGGTCAAGGTGAATAAATAACGAAACTTGAAATTTGTATCATAAAATGTGTTTAGCAGTTACAGACTTAATTTTTTTTTATTCAGATTAAAAAAAACAAATGTTGAATTCCAGTAATCAAAGCTTAACAAAATTTCAAAGTTTAAATTTCTAAAATCAGGAAACAAAAGATTGAATAAGAAGAACTTATTTTCTAGTCATGATTAACGTTTCATAACATACTTTTTTATTACGAAACAAATGAATGTTTTTTTTATTCGTTTTGGATAAAAAAACACATACTCAGTATTCAAGGCTGATCAAACCTTAAAAAAATTTAAAAACTATAAATTTTTTAAGTAGGTAACAAAAATTCAAAAGTAAAAGTTAAAAATTGTTTTTTTTTTTGGATATAAAAGACATACTTTGAATTCCAGTGATAAAAAAGTTCAATCAATTTTTGAAGTTGTAAATATTAAAAATAAGAAACATAAATTTGAAATAAAAGTACCTATTTTGTTCCATTAAAACAGGAAACAAATTTTAGCAGTCGACCTTTGTTTGTTGTTGGATCAAAAAGACACACAGTCGCGATCAAACAGAAGAAATGATGCGGAATCCGTGTTATCCATGACTCTTACTGAACACTAAATCTATGCGATTGCAAAATTGTACATCAGTAAAAAAATAAAAAATTCAGCTTACAGATTAAACACAATTTAAAAACCGAGCAAAAACAATACCTCGGATAGTAATCTTCCCAATGTTTTTCGCAGTTCTTACAGTACCACTTTTCAAAATCCTCTAAAAGAGAATGAACATTTTTTGCAAGACTTGTACCACCAGTTGTATTTGCTCTCAACAGATTTTATAGTCCCATACGTGATGCAAGTTGTAACCTTAAATATAGCAAGCGCAGGCAAACAATTAAAATAATTCACACAGACTTGATATTATCCAAGAAATTCAATAAATTTGAAGAAACAAAAATTCTATATTTACCTCGCCACAAAGCTTCACATCACTGATAGACTTCTTTTCAGTCTCCTTCAGAAAATCATTTTCGTAAGAATAGTATGACTAAGTAGACAACTGAGTCATCCGCAGACTACTCTCAACACCATCAGCCATGAGACTATAGAGAGAAAATGGATATACAGTAAATGATTAACTAAATAAATTATGAAATGAGTTTAAGAATAACAAACAAACCGTTTTTTGAACTCAACGATCTCTGGGATCTTCGAATCCATGACAATCCTCGTTGTATATTTTGTATTGGTTAACCCAACCTTACCTATCAAGTTGAGCATAAAAAAAAAACGTAGAAGAGCAATCCCAAAAAAAATAGAATTAAACAGAACATAGAGGAATAACGTATTGGAAAAAAAGATTGATAAAATCATACCCCTAAAACATTTTATCCTACCTAGCTGGACTATCACGACGTGATGAGGAGTGTCGCTGGTTGCCATAAAAGATTGAATCTCTTCCACATAGTGCTCCCACAAAGTGCACTCCAGCTTGTGACCCCTTCATATGAGTTGTAGCCCAAATGTACAGTAATACACGTTCACAGATAAAACAAAAAAATATAAGGGAACACAGATAAAACAAAAGAATACGTTGAAAAAATAAAATTTACAATACCTGAGGTTGTCAAGCTCCAACACAAGCATTTTGGTCTTCCTACCAGAAACCACACTTCACAAACTTCACCAATTCCTGATATTAAATCAATGACGTCTACAAAGAAAGAAAGGGCAACAAAGAGTCCGTAAAAAAATTTAAAAAATTTAAAAACGAAAAGACAGTAAGCACAATTATATTACCCACTAAAAGTCAGATGTTTCTTTTTCAATGATGTCATAATCAACAAAATCAAATTCACTCGCACAAATATTAGAATCAACAATTGATCTAAGATCAGTCCTCAAATTGAAAGACAAACGATACTGATGCCTGGTAGGCCTGAACACTTCGCTATTGAATCCAACTCCAATTTTTTTGATAAAATGGCAGTCTCCTTCATGGATTTTCTTCCGCACCGGCAAAGAACCTTTGACAGTGGCGTGGATCCTACCACCCTAAAAAAAACACAGCGAACTCAAAAAAGTGGAAGATTTAAAAACGCAAGAACCAAGATTTTAAAAACGCTAAGAACATACCTGTTCATCCAACAAAACCATTTCAACGTTGTCGTCTTGATCTTTACGTTGAAAGTTAGGAACTTTCCAAGCCCGAACCACCTTCACCTTAATCCTCTAGTCCTCCTTGACAGGACTGACATCCTTCAGAAAATCATATTTATACATCCTTTGAAGCTGTGTGTTGTAACTGGTAGTAACCTACTTAAAAAAAATGACAACAACAGCAACAAAATAAAAAACAGTATGAGAAGGCAAACGACGAACGACGAACAACAAAAAAATGACGAACAACAGCTGGGAAAAAACGAAGACGAAAAGCAGCAACAAAACCAAATCTTTATGAGAAGGCGAACGACGAACAACTCACAACAAAAAAATGACGAACATCAGCTGGGAAAAAACGAAGACGAAAAGCAGCAACAAAACCAAAAATGGTATGAGAAGGCGAGCGACGAACGACGAACAACAAAAAGAACGACGAACAGCAGCTGGGAAAAAAATAGAACACAGAAGAACAGGAGAAAGAAGAAGATGAGAAGGCGTTTAGGGTTTTGTTAAATGTTTAAAAATTTCAATTAACAAAGCAGGTGAACATTTACTGAGTTGTCAGTTTTCAAAATTTAAATTTTTCTCTTTCCTTCCACAATTAAAATTTGAAAGGATTATGAGCTGTGTCCCAATAAAGAAGAGAACATATCTAAACCATTGCTTTTGGATAGCAAATCGTGGCCATCAATTTTTAGTCCAGATTATAGTTTCTTTTTGAATTTTTTTATTTCCTCAATTATCAAAAAAGGAAACTTTTTGAACTGTGTAGTGTGAAAGCAAACACGTGTCAGAAGGAGAAGCGGCCACGTGTCAGAAGTTGCCAAAGAATGGCTTTGTCTTAGAATATAAGATAGATTGACAAATTCCATAGTATGATTTATATCGTTATTGCTTAAGCACAATGTGTTTCTTCTTAAGGGATTAAGATTGGTCTATTGATACGGGATTTAGGTAGTTTGTGTGAAGTTATAGGTTTAAAATTTAAGTACGTACCATCATTGTATCCAAAAGTAAAAATATATTCCATCTTTAGCACTCATACCTTAAATTTTCCACGCTACATTTCCTGCTCGTTGGTGATTTCAATCTAGGACTATTTAAATAAACCTAGATTGAAAATTAATTAAAATTTTTACTAGATTACCGTAAAGCTAAATAGTAAATAATTAATTTTTTTATTTTTGATTAATTATGGAATTTTACTATGATTATAGAATATACATCAACATTTGAAATTGATATTTTTTAATTATTATAAATTTCTAGAGTTTATACAAAGATAAAATATAGTAGATTAGATTATAATTTTGATTATTACTATTATTAATAATTAGTTAAATTGGAATTATTATTCTTCAAACTCCAAGCTCAATTATCATTAATTTTAATTAGTATACTATTTTTGCTTAATTATTTCATATTATTCTTTTAAAAATTAAATAAGATCGAAAAAGTAAGATAAGATGTATACATTACCAACACCTATAGTCATAAATATATCTTGAATCTAATGAGGTTGCTTCATTATTCTAGAGCGGTTCTATTATTTTTATGAGTAGATTAACTGTAATTTGATAAATCTAAGTGTATTTGGAGATGATTAGTCTAGCCGGCTAACTAGTGATAATATTAAATTTAACTTATGCACCGGTTTAGTCTATACTCTCAGTTTAATTTGTCTTTGTGAAATAAAAAGAACAAGTTTCCTTCACTGGAGGGCGTTTGGTAGAGGAGAATTTTTTTTATCTGAGAATCTCGATTTTTAAAAATATGATTTTTATATTCAGTTTATGATAATATTCGAAAATTTAAAATTTAAAAAAATTCAGTTTCCTGAAAATCCGAGGAAAAACTGTGTACCAAACGCCCTCCTGATTGTGATTACGAAGTGTAATCATTATCACAATTATTAAGATATCCTTTCAATCTATATTTGAAAATTGGTTCTACCCATTCCGTTCGTGTTGTGATATCGTATATATTACCTAATCACTTAAGTTTTAGTGCTATAATTTTGAAATGTGAATATAGTGTCAATGAAATTTATTAATATGAACATTGAGGTCATTAAATCGATAAGAAAAATAAAATATGATTGTTGGGTAGTATAGGGACAAATCCGTAATGCATCACATAACTTATC